AAATATATATGCAGCGTATATGAGAAGTTAAGTGAGTTACAGGAAGAAAAAGACAGTAAAACTATACTAGTGGGGGACTTCAACCTCCTTCTCTTAGAACTAGATAAATCTAACCACAAAATAAACAAGAAAGAAGTTAAGGAGGAGAATAGAATTTTAGAAAAGTTAGATATGGTAGCCCTCTAGAGAAAACTGAATGTGGATAGAAAGGAATATACCTTTTTCTCAGTGGTACATGGTATCTACACAAAAAATGACCATATACTAGGGCATAAAAACCTCACCATCCAATGCAGAAAGGTAGAAATATTAAATACATCCTTTTCAGATCATGAAGCAATAAAAATTACATGTAATAAAAGGCCAAAAATTAATTGGAAACTAAATAATCTAGTCATAAAGAATGAGTTGGTCAAACAATAAATTATAGAAACAATCAATAACTTCATCCAAGAGAATGACAATAATGAGACAACATACCAAAACTTGTGGCATACAGCCAAAACACTTCTTACGGGAAAATTCGCATCTCTAAATGCTTGCATGAATGAAATACGGAAAGAGGAGATTAATGAATTGGGTATGCACCTAAATCAGCTAGAAAAAGAACAAATCAAAAATCCACACTTAAATACCAAATTAGAAATCCTGAAAATGAAAGAAGAAGTGGATAAAATGGAAATTAACAAAACTATTTAACTAATAAAACTAAGAGCTTGTTTTATGAAAAAAATAAAATAGATAAACTTTTGTTTAATTTGATTTTTTTAAAAAAAAAGAAGAAAAAGAAATTACCAGTGTCAAAAATAAAAAGGGTGAATTTACCATCAATGAAGAGGAAATTAAAACAATAATTAGGAGTTAGTTTGCCCAAATGTATGCCAATAAATCTGACAGTCTAAGTGAAATGAATAACCTCATTTCAGAAAAAGAAATAGAACATGGAATTAATGAACTCCCTAAGAAAAAATCTCCATTGCCAGATGGATTTACAAGTGAAGTCTACCAAACATTTAAAGAACAATGAATTCCAATACCATATAAACTATCTGGAAAAATAAGTGGAGATGGAATCCTACCAAATTCTTTTTGTAATACAAAGATAGTGCTGATACCTAAACAAGGAAGAGCCAAAACAGAGAAAGAAATTATAGACAAATTTCCCTAATGAATATTGATGCAAAAATTTAAAATAAAGCATTAGCAAAGAGATTACAGCAAATTATTACAAGGATAATACGCTATGACCAGGTGGGATATATACCAAGAACGCAGCGTAGTTCAATATTAGGGAAACTATCAGTATGATTGACCACATCAATGACAAAATTAACAGAAATCATATGATTATCTCAATAGATGCAGAAAAATACAACACCCATTCCTATTAAAAGCACTAGAGACCATAGGAATAAAAGGAGTTTTCCTTAAAATGATTAGTATCTAACTAAAACCATCAGCAAACATTATATGTAATGGGAATAAACTACCAGCACTCCCAATATGATTGAGGGTGAAACATTAATAATGAAACATTATCATCACTGTTATTCAATATTTTACTAGAAATGTTAGCTTTAGCAATAATAGAAGAAAAAGAAATGGAAGGAATTAGAATAGGTACTGAAGAAACAACAGCATCACTCTTTGCAGATGATATGATGATATACTTAGAGAAGCCTAGAAAATCAACTAAAAAACATTACTTGAAAAAAATAACAACTTTAGCAAAGTTGCAAAATATAAAATAAACCCACATAAATCACTGGCATTTTTATGCATTACTAACAAAGTCTAGCAGCAAGACATAGAAAGAGAAATTCTATTTAAAGTTATTGTAGACATTATAAAATATCTGGGAGTCTACCTGCCAAGACAAACTCAGGAACTATATGAACACAATTACAAAACACTTTTCACATAAATAAAGTTAGATCAAAGTAATTGAAAAAATATCAGTTGCTCATGGGTAGGCTGAGATAAGATCATAAAAATGAAAATTTTGCCTAAATTAATTTACTTAGTGACATACCAATCAAACTACTGAAAAACTATTTTATAGAGCTAGACAAAATAATAACAAAATTCATCTGGAAGAACAAAAGGTCCAAAATATCAAGGGAATTAATGAAAAGAAATGCTAGAAAAGGTAGCCATACCAGGTCTAAAACTGTACTATAAAGCAGTAATCATCAAAAGTACTTAGTACTGGCTAAGAAATGGAGTGCTTGATTAGTGGAATGGGTTAGGTACACAAGACATAGTAGCAATGACTATAGGAATCTACTGTTTGATAAACCCAAAAACTCTACTTTCTGGGATGAGAACTCACTTTTTCACAAAAACTGTGGGGAAAACTAGAAAATAGCATGGCAGAAACAAGGCATAGGCCAAGATCTTATACCATATACCAAGCTAAGGTCAAAATGGGTATGTGATTTAGACATAAAGGTCATATTATAAACAAATTAAAAGAGCAAGGAATAGTTTACTTGTCAGATCTATGGAGAACAGAAGAATCTGTGACCAAACAAGAGATAGAGAGCATTATAAAATGCAAAATGAATGATTTTGATGACATTAAATTAAAAAGGTTTCACAAAAAAAGCCAATGCAACCAAGATTAGAAGGAAAGCAGAAAGCTGGGGAACAATTGTTATAGCCAGTGTTTCTGATAAAGGCCTCATTTCTAAAACACATAAAGGACTGAGTAAAATTTATTAGAATACATGTCATTCCCCAATAGATAAATGGTCAAAGGATATGAACAGGCAGTTTTCAGATAAAGAAATTAACGCTAACTATAGTCATATGAAAAAAATACTCTAAATCACTATTGATTAGAGAAATGCAAATTAAAACAACTCTGAGGTACCACCTTATACCTACCAGATTGGCTAATATGACAAAAAATGAAAATTATAAATGTTAGAGAACATGTGAGAAAATTGGGACACTAATGCATTGTTGGTGGAGTTGTGAACTGATTCAATCACTCTGCAGAGCAATTTGGAACTATGCCCAAAGGGCTATAAAAAATGTGCATACCCTTTGACTCAGCAATAGCACTATTAGGGCTGTATCCCAAAAAGATCATACAAATGGGAAAAGGAGCCACATGTACAAAAATATTTATAGCAGCTCTTTTTGTGGTGGCAAAGAATTAGAAATTGAGGACATATCCATCAATTGGGAGAATGGCTAAACAAGTTGTGATATATGAATGTAATGGAATACTATTGTTCCATAAGAAATGATGAGCAGGCAGATTTCAGAAAAACCTAGAAAGACTTGCATGAACTGATGCTGAGTGAAGTGAGCAGAATCAGGAGAATACCATACACAGTAACAACAACATTGCACAATGATCAATTTTGATAGACTTAACTCTTCTCAGCAATACAATGATCTAAGACAATTAATTACAAGACTCATGATGGAAAATGCTATCCACATGCAGAGAAAGAATTACGAAGTCTCAGTGTAGATCAAAGCATACTATTTTCTCTTTTTTTGTTTGTGTTTTTCTTTCTGGTGGTTTTTCCCTTTAGTTCTGATTCTTTCATAACATGATTAATATGCAAATATGTGTAATATAATTGTACATGGATAGCCTATATTAGATTGCAGACCATCTTGGGGAGGGGGAAAAAATCTAGAACTCAAAATCTTGTAAATGTGAATGTTGAAAACTAAAAATTAAATAAATATTGAAAATTATACATACATATATACATACATACATACATATGTGTGTATTATAGTGGCTTATTTAAAATTTCTTTTTGTTATTTTTTCCCTCTCTAAAAAAAACATTACAGCAATGTAAATGTAAAGAATGAAAGGAAGTCAAAACAGAAGGCTGGGCAATTGTAAAGGCCAAGCTTGAGCTCAGTGAAGAGTTTTGAGAAGCCACCTACTTCCCTGCTTTGCAGAGGCCTGGAACCAAAGATGTCGACATATTGCTTGTTTTTCTCCATGATTCTTTTTTTTTTCTTTGTTTTAGGAGATGACCCTTGGGGGGGGCATGGGAGATTAAGTGGGAAGTTGGTAACAGGATTCCCTCCCCCCAGGTGTCAAGGGAGGGGAAGGAGAAAGGGCAGAAGAAAATAAGCATTTGGAGAGAGAGAGAGTGAGAGAGAGAGAGAGAGAGAGAGAGAGAGAGGAGAGAGAGAGAGAGAAATTTGAATCTTACAACAGCCCAAGGAGTTAGGTACTACTGATATTTTTATCTGCCTTTTAGAGAGAAGGAAACTGAGGCTCACAGAGGTTGTGACTTATCCAAGGGTACTAGGAAAGAGACGGAAGGAAGAACAGGAGAGAAGTCGACAACTAGGCAGCAGCAGCAGCACCTGGCTTCACACCTAAGTCTTCCCTGATCCCTATTTTGGGTCCTTTTCCACTAGCCAAGCTGCCAAACTCTCCTTGGGGACCCTCAGGGAAACACGGGACTCTGATTCACTCAGATCTCCAGCAAATGTGATTCAAGTATGCCTGTCTCTGGAGACTGGAGATTCTGAGACTGCCAGCGGAGTTTTTCTTCTGGAGAAGACATAGAGTCTTTCCCTATTTCCAGTCTCTTTTTTCTTTCTTATCTCAACTGACCCCGGTCCAGCCCAGATCTTCAGAGCTGAATGAAAGTCTCACAGAAGAGAGAACAAAACAGTGACTCAGCAGACCTAGGTCAGATGGGGGCAGGGTATCTGGGGAAGAATGGGCCCTGTGTCGACCTCCTAGTCAAGCCTGTTTGCAGGGAGAATTACCAGAGCTCTGAATTTCTACCAACCTCCAAACTTTTCCCCAACTCCTGGGTCCTCTGCCTCTCCCCATCCCCCACCTCACCAGCTTCTCCTTCGGTCCTCCTCTTTGTGCTCCTCTGTGTTCCATCTCCTCATATTTCTCTATCCCACCCTGTTCCCCACCAGGCCCACCCCTGTCATCATCAGCCCGGATGGGATACTCCTGCTCCAGACTCCATTTTGAGTCTTTTCAGACAGTACCTGGTAAATCCTCTTCTGATGAAGGTAGCTCTGGGGTCAGTTCTGGATGTCACTGTTTTGATGTCTTGGGATCCCACTCGCTGCTCACTCTGACCCCAAAACAAGGAAAATGTTGTATATTCTCTTTCTCCCTCTTACCAACTTCTCTCTGCCTCAGACTCCACCTCTGCAGGCAAAAAAAAAGACAGAAGAAGTCTGAATGAGTCACTGGAATCTGATTGGAGCCAGGAAAGGGGAGGGCTGGGGCCAGTCAGAAAAAAGAGGAGAGGGGTTAATGAGAACAAAAGATGAAGCAGTAGGTGAAAGGGTAGGAGAATTAATAACCCAGGCCCTTAAGGTCACTCTCCACTGACTTCAGAGCTCCCTCACACCCCTCCTCCTGATCTCCTTCTCTCCTCTCTTTTTCTCTTCCTTCCCCCACCATTCTGTCCCAGTTGCACATACGAAGACAGCCCCTACAACATCGAACCACCCCTATTCTGTCCTACTCTCCCCCCACAGACTCTCCTCTCCTCCTTTGCTGTCTCCCCACTTTTCTCCTCTTCTTCCTTCCCTCTCTTTCCTTCCTCATACCTTCATCACTTGTCTTCCCTTTCTCTCCCTGTCTCCTTTTTCCTCTGAATCATCTTCTCCTATTTCCTCCCCTTCCTGCCTCTCTGTCCCAACCCGGTAGATTGAACGGCAGCCTCCACGGACATTTTTCTTCATTCATTCTTTCCCAGGCCTCAGCAATTCCAAAGAGAGGGCAGCAGTGGGGGAAGGGGGTACCCTGTAGTAAGAAGGATCCTAGGCACCAATTCAGCTGCCCTGGCACTAGTTTTATTTTGAAGGGCACAGCCTGCCAATTTGGGCAACATCCTGTCAGAGTCACCAACTCCTATCCTCCCATATCCATCCCATCATTTCCCTCCCCACAAGCAGACCCTAGTTTAGACCTTTATTGCTTTTCCCTTGGAATATTATGACAATGTCCTAGCCAGGCTCTGCCTTTGACTCACTCTTACAGCTCCTGCACAAGCTACTTGTCATCCTCACTGAGTCACAGAATAGCAGAGCTGGAAGGGACTTTAAGGATGTTCTAGTCTAATTCTTTCATTTTGCAGATGGAAAAACTAAGGCCCAAGGTGGAGAAATGACCTTATAGAAGCTCAGAGTTGGAAGTGTCCTCAAACAACATGTAGTCCAATATGTTTCCTTAAGGTTATACAGTAAGTTAGTGATCAAGATCAAGACAAAGGATTTAAACCCAGGGTTCTGAATTACTAGCTCAATGCTCTTTCTAACATTACTCTTCTTCTCAGTAGTTCTCATGCCTACCACTCACCACAAGACCCCCTTACTCAGAAGCTTTCAGTGACTTCCGATTGCCAATTTGGATCTGTGGTCAATCAAAAGAGATTGGCTTAGCCATTCACAGAGGAAAACACAAGGTGGATTAAAGGATGCTCATTGCCCAGGCAATGACAATCAGCTGGACATGCATTTCCACTAAGTTAATCCTTCAGTACAAATTGCTTGAATGATGTGAGCTAAGTTCAAAATTTAATAGAAAGAGATTATACTGGATAGCACTGGACAAATAGAATAGCCTTTCACCGACACTGTTGCTGCCATAGTTTGATGTGAATTTCTAGAGCACAACTTGCTCTGAGGATAAAGGCAATTTAGTTTCTTCTTTCTCATTTGTATTTATTCTTCCCTGACTCTTGATGGATGAGTATCGGAGATAGAGTGACCTTATGAACTTTGGCAGGTAACAAGTCTCCAGAAGCTCAGAAGTGGGACTTCAGGGTAGAAGTCCACCATACTTGCAGCTTCTGAGTGTTATGAGACAGTGCGGCCCTGAGGAGCTACTTACCTGCTCATTCCAGCGCAGCAGAGCATCAATACAGAAACCGCTTTGCCATATACAACAAACACAGTAGCAACTTGGGCATCAACTGTAACACATCCAGAAATGGGAGGATACTTTGTAGGTGTCACTTGAGATTGGAACCCATTGTTCCCAGGGACTGGCATGGTAGAGGATCCTGTGTCCCGGTTTGGAGTGGCGGCAGGGAAATGTTTTGTAGCAGCTACTTTAAATTCAAATGCAACTCTCTCTAGGGACCAAGGTAGGCCCTGGTTTAAGGGCATTTCTTGTTTTTTGGCACTTTGGTTCTTGCTGTAATTTCTTCACATACCCACCCACACATATATGTATATCTTTTGGGCAGCTAGGTGGTGCAGTGGATAGAGTGCAGAAGCTGGAGTCAGGAAGACCTGAGCTTAAATCCAGGTTCAGACACTTGCTAGCTGTGTGACCCTGGAGCAAGTCACTTCACCCTGTTTCCCTCACTTCCTTATTTATAAAATGAGCTAGAGAAGGTAATGGCCAACTGCTCCGGTATCTTTGCGAAAAACAAAAACAAACAAACAAAAAAATGGGTCACAATGAGTCAGACGTCACTGAAAAATACTGAACAGCAACCCAAGTGAGACACTGATCCTTCAGATAACCACCTTGAAAATCCAAATCCTGGAACTGCCCTGCTAGATAGGAAAGCAACAGATGTGTCTGAATTGAACTAGGAGGTGAGATAAAAAGAGCCCAGCATTACCTAGGTTCCAGGTTAGGTGAGTGACTCTTATGGAACCATTGATTCTCCTGCATTAGCCTAAAGCTCATTTCACCTGAAACCTTGACAGCCCTCCACCGATTGAGTCTTAGAGGTATCCTATTCCTTCTAGAGATCTGATTGTATCCATGTCTTTTGGGTCACCACGATCTGTGTTGTGTTAGAGGAAGGGGGAGAAAAGTACATGTGTGTGTGTGTGTGTGTGTGTGTGTGTGTGGTGTATGCACGTAAGTGTGTATACACACATATGTATGTACACATGTATACACACATGTATGTATGTGTATATGTTCATATAATCCGTATCTATATAGATGAAGCTCCAAAGAAAGCAAAAATCAATCTCTGCAGTCTTTTCCCCCAACTCTTCTTAAAGAGTGATTTTAATTCCTTTAATTTTTCTTTTCTTTTCTTTTTTTTTTGCTTAGGTGATTAGGGTTAAGTGACTTGCCCAGGGTCACATGGCTAGTTAGTGTCAAGTGTCTGAGGTCAGACTTTAACTCAGGTCCTCCTGACTGCAAGGCCAGAACTCTATCTACTGCGCCACCTAGCTGCCCCTAATTCTTTTAATTTTTGTAATTTTTTTCTTTATTTTAAACTTAAATGCAAAATGAAAAAAGAAAAAAAGAAGATTTCCATGTGCACAGGAGAACGTAAGACAGGATTCAATATAAAACGATAAATTTCCATTTTAAGAAAATCTATATAATAAGTACTACACGTTGTTTTCAAAGCTACCCTACTTAAAGGTTTTCCTTTGTTCTCTGCTGTGCACTTTTTACTTTATTTTTTTCTCCTCCCCTACACCCATAAAGAAGGCTACAATTAAACATGGACATATGTATACTGCATAGATATTTATAAACATATACTTATATACATACAAATACTTATATACACATATGACTATACTATGTATATTTCCACTTGTCATCTCTTTCTCTGAAGATGGATAGCATCTTCCTTCCTAAGTTAAAATCTTTCCATGTTTTTCTAAATCAACCACCTCATCATTTCCTATATTGCAGCAGTATTCCAAAACAATCACATTGTATCTGAGAGATTGTCTATGAAAGTTTCCCCCCCAATTTCCTGCATTCCCTCTATTCTTGGCTACTTTGATTTTATTTATACAGGAAAATTTCAACTTAAAATAATCAAAATTTTCCATTTTACACTTCAATAATGGTTCTACTTTATGATATAGTTTAAGGCCTAGTACTGCTGGCTGTCCTTCCTTTACATCTTTTTTCCCTGGTTTCTTTGAAATTGCTGACCTTTTGTTCTTGTAAATGAACTTTGCTATTTTTTTTTCTAAATCAGTAAGATGATTTTTTTTTAGTAATTTAATTGGCATGGCATTGAATAAATAGATTTGTTACATAAAATTGTCATTTTAAAATTATATTGGCTTTACCTACCCATGAACCATAAATATTACTCCAAATATTTAAATCTAGCTTTATTTGTATAAAAAGTATTTGTATAAAAAGTGTTTTATGTTTATGTTCATGTACTTCATGTGTCTGTTTTAGCAGGTATACTCGGGTATTTTATACTGCCTAGTTATTTTAAATGGTCTAAAACAATATTTAATAATATTGGTGACACATAGTATAATTTCCCTATCTTTCTCTTTTAATTAAATCTATTTGAGCTTTAACTTTGTCTGAGATCATGATTATTACCCTTGCTTTTATTACGTAATAAATTCTACTCCAGCCCTTCATTTTATCTATGTGTGTATCTCTCATTTTTATTGTGTTTCCTGAAAGCAAAATATTGTTTAACTCAAATTTTTAATCTGCTATCCATTTCCACTTTATGGGTAAATTCATCCCATTCATATTCTAAGTTATAATTACTTCTTGTCTATTTCCCTCCTTCCTATTTTTCCTCACCATCCTTCTCACCCTATTTACCCTATCCCTCCTTACTCCTCTAATTTATTTCTACCTGATAGGTTGCCTTCCTATTCCTTAACCCATCCAATCCTCCAAGAGTCCCTCCCTTATCCTCTCCCCCATCCTATCTCCTAGTCTTCTTATTTCCTTTCTGTATTTAGGAGACTTTTATACCCTTCTAGATATATATGTCCTCTCTCTCTCTCTTTTTTTTTTGTTTGTTTTTTGCTAGGCAGTGGGGTTAAGTGACTTGCCCAGGCTCACACAGCTAGTAAGTGTTATGTGTCTGAGGCCAGATTTGAACTCAAGTCCTCCTGAATCCAGGGCTGGTGCTCTATCCACTGAGCCACCTATCCCATTCCTGATGAAAGTAAGGTTCCAGAACTACCTGCTCTCCCCATTCTTCACTTGCTTCTTCTATATCAGTTCTTCCCTTCAAGCCTCACTTGTATGAGATAATTACTCCTTTTTATCTCTCCCTACACAGTTTTGTTTTTTTAGGATCACCCCACAATATGCAGCTCAGTCCCAAGCCTTTCTTTCAAACTACCCAAATAACGACAGTCATAAGAGTACTGATAACATTTTCACATATAAGAAGTAAACAGTTTGACCTTATTGA